CTTCTGAGTGGAGGTTTTGGGAAGTGGCACCTCATCTGGCCCTTCTATCATTCAATGGAGAGATCAAGCATATGTCTTTCACATCCTAAGCCAACAGAACAAAGTTTCATCCTTTGTTGCTTCAAATACATGGTTGCAGAAGGCATCACTTTCTGACTTCTCTTTTTGTTTCCTGAGAAATAGGAGGCTCTTTTATTTCCCAAGGGTGATAAGGTAGAACGGAGTTTGGAAGGCTATGAGAAAAAGTCTGCAGTGTGACAAAAAGATGGGTTCTGGAGCTCAGTTACCTGGATTTGAATCCTGGCTCTGATGCTTCCCAGCTATGCGACTTGATCACATGATTTAGTCTTTCTGTGTCTCCTTTTACTAATCTGTGAAATGAGGATAATGATGTCTAGCTCACAGAGTGTTTATGAGGATTAAGCGAATTTAAAGCGTGGAGAACTGTAATAGAGCGGGCGCTCGGGAGGCCCTGAGGCACCCCACCCCTGCCACGGGGAGACCGGAGCCCCTGAGCCTGCCTGGGATCCTGGGGTGGAGCTGGGCAGTGTGCAACCCTTTGCACGTGGCCTGTTGCTGTGAGCCATTACCAGGCAACCATTATCAGCAGATGAGAGCCAGAAGGTTAGAGCAGTGGTGAGAGGGCCCCCTTGGCTAAGGGCGGGGTGGTGGTCCTCCAGCGGAGAGCGAGGTAAGAGGCAGATGTGGCCTTCTCCCGGGGGCCCTCCAGGGACAGGAGGGCTGGCAGGTGAGCTGGGCGCCCAGCGACAGGTTGGGGGCTGTGTCCTGCAGAGCTCACGCCCTCTCCATGGCCGCCCACTGGCTGGGCCCAGGCCTTGAGGCAACAGTGAACCTCTCTCCCAACCCCGCCTCTGCGAACCTAATGGCAATGGCAGTCTGCATGGGTCGCTGTCTTCGAGACCCGGCCCCGCCGTTTGGGTGGCCTGAGGAGCCTGAAGGCCAGTTGAGTCCTGGGCCCCTGGCTCCCTCAGTGATGACGGCTGGGCAGGGTCTGGGGACCTGACCCTGAGGGCGCTGCCAGCTGAGATCTGCCCCTTCAGCCGGGCCTGGGCACTGGCGGTAAGACCCAGACTGGGTGCTGCACCAACGCTCCCGGCAGGGTAACTGACCTCCGCAGGGACCCCCTCCTCTTAGCCAGGACCTGGACTCGGAGGGTGAAAGTTGTGCCTTGGGACCTGCCCTTTCTTGTCAGAACGGAGAATAACATTTGTCTGGTGGAGATTTATAGGGACATCGTGACCTGACCTCAAGAACAAAGGATCTTTGGTCAGTTGCTTCATTCCAAAATTTAAAAGCAGCTCATGAAGCTCAAAAATCAAAAAAAACCCCAGCCCAATCCAAAAATGAGCAGAAGACCTAAATAGACATTTCTCCAAAGAAGACATACAGATTGCCAACAAACACATGAAAGAATGCTCAATGTCATTAATCATTAGAGAAATGCAAATCAAAACTACAATGAGGTATCCCCTCACACCAGTCAGAATGGCCATCATCAAAAAATCTACAAACAATAAATGCTGGAGAGGGTGTGGAGAAAAGGGAACCCTCTTGCACTGTTGGTGGAAATATAAATTGATACAGCCACTATAGAGAACAGTATGGAGGTTCCTTAAAATATTAAAAATAGAACTACCATACGACCCAGCAATCCCACCGCTGGGCATATACCCTGAGAAAACCATAATTCAAAAAGAGTCATGGGGCTTCCCTGGTGGTGCAGTGGTTGAGAGTCCACCTGCCGATGCAGGGGACACGGGTTCGTGCCCTGGTCCGGGAAGATCCCACATGCCACGGAGCAGCTAGGCCCGTGAGCCATGGTCGCTGAGCCTGTGCGTCCGGAACCTGTGCTCTGCAACGGAAGAGGCCACAACAGTGAGAGGCCCGCGTATTGCAAAAAAAAAAAAAAGAGTCATGGACCATAATGTTCATTGCAGCTCTATTTATAATAGCCAGGACATGGAAGCAACCTAAATGTCCATCGACAGATGAATGGATAAAGATGTGGCACATATATACAATGGAATATTACTCAGCCATAAAAAGAAACAAAATTGAACTATTTGTAGTGAGGTGGATGGACCTAGAGTCTGTCATACAGAGTGAAGTCAGAAAGAGAAAAACAAATACCGTATGCTAACACATATATATGGAATCTAAAGAAAAAAGAAAAAAAATGGTTCTGAAGAACCTTGGGACAGGACAGGAATAAAGACGCAGACATAGAGAATAGACTTGAGGACACGGGGGGGGGGGAAGGGTAAGCTGGGATGAAGTAAGAGAGTGGCATGGACTTATATACACTACCAAATGTAAAATAGATAGCTAGTGGGAAGCAGCCACACAGCACTGGGAGATCAGCTCGGTGCTTTGTGACCACCTAGAGAGGTGGGATAGGGAGGGTGGGAGGGAGACACAAGAGGGAGGAGATTTGGGGATATATGTATACATAGAGCTGATTCACTTTGTTATACAGCAGAAACTAACACACCATTGTAAAGCAATTATACTCCAATAAAGATGTTAAAAAAAAAAAAAGAACAAAGGATCTGACACCAAGAATTTGCAACAACTAACCACTCCCCTCCCTCACCTTTCCTATAAAATTTTCCTTTGCTGAAAGTTTTCAGGATGTTTGGGGTTTTTAAGGCATGAGCCACCTGTCTCCTTGCATGGCCCTGCAATAAACTTTTCTCCGTTCCAAACTCCATTTTGATATTGTTTGGCCTCACTGTGCGTTGGGCACACGGACTTGCGTTCGGTAACAGAATGATTAAGACAGTACATGGCACATGGCAAGCACTCAATAAGTGTTAGCTATTATTAATTTATGTTATTATCTTTAAATAGCTATCATGCACAACAGCTGATTGCTGGGTGGTGTTAAAGACTGGCTGAGGCTAGATATTGTGAATTTATAATGGCTTTGTCAAGGAAGGCTGATGATTCTGCCAGGCAGTTTGAGTGTGGTACAAAGGTGGGGGAGAGTTGGACCAATATAGGGTTGCCAAGTAGGTGAGACTAAATAGTACTGGAACATATTTTTGTTCTGATTTACTTACTCATTTCCCCCTTGGCCTACCACTATTTGTGTCTTATGATAAATTTTTTTTTTTTTCACAGCAGCACTATTTATTACATAATAGCCAAGACAGGGAAGCAACCCAACAGATGACTGGCTTAAGAAGATGTGACATATACACACATACACATACAATGGAATACTACTCACCACACACAAAAAACAAAATCTCCATTTGCAGCAACATGGATGGATTTATGGAATCTTATGCTTAGTGAAATAAGTCAGACAGAGAAAGACAAATGCTATATGATATCACTTATATGTGGAATCTAAAAAAATAACACAAATGAATCTATATACAGAACAGAAACACTCACAGACATAGAAAACAAACTTATGTTTACCAAAGGGGAGAGGATGAAGGGGAAGGACAAATTACGAGTATGGGATTAACAGATACGAACCACTATACATAAAACAGATAAGAAACAAGGATCCACTGTATAGCATAGGGAATTATACCAAAATCTTGTAATAACCTATAATGGAATATAATATGCAAAAACCCCCAAATCACTATGCTGTACACATAAAACTAACAAAATATTATAAGTCAACAATACTTCAATTAAAAAAAAAAGAACTATATGGAACTTATATACTAAGATCTACCAAGACAGTATATAGGTCGACCAAGCAAAAACTGGACCATTATTTAGTATAAAGATTTTGCAGAAAACATAACTTTATTAATGATAATGTTGCTTAAGCTAAAAAAAACTATCTGAAAATACTTTACCAAATAATATAATTTCCCCTTTTAATTGGTTGTGGGTACAATTTTATAACTAACATTATAACACAAAGCACCCTTGCTGCTAGTCTGCCTTGTTTTACAATTTAATGCTGATTTATATATTGATACAATACTAATAACTAATAAAATATAATAAGTATTATGGTAAGATTATTGATTCTGAAATACTAGAAAGCTTCATATGATGAAATATCTTAGGTATTATCACTGAATTTTTAAAAACAGGATATTGCTTTTAAACTTTTAAAATCATGTTTATTTAGCTTATTTAAAAAATATATAAATTCTAAAAATATACCATACCAAGAGTAACCGATAAGGACTTTTTACACCTTCCAGTTCTGCCTACATTCCCAAAACTCATCCCTGACACCAATGATATCACTGGGCATAGGGGTAGGGGGTTGGGGGCAGCCTCTGAGACAGTCACTGAGGAGGGGCCACACCTCAATGTGAGTCAAGTTACAGTTAGAGCCTAGTCATAGAATAATATGTCTACCACAGGCATCTTTCCTTAAATTTAAATTATTCTTCCATTTTTTTCCCTAAAGCCTTTCTTTCCTCTATCTCTAGTTCCCGGATAAGCCCTCATCCTAAACACTCATTTATTTATTTTTTTCTCTCTTGTTCCACTGGTGTAACATACGAGTTTATGTCCAGTAAACTATCTTCTGGGGAAGAAAACTCAAAACATGATCAAAGAATTTACCAAGTTTAAATTTTAAGACTCTAGAAGCCTGAGTAGTTTAATCATTGGTTGCCCAAAAGCATTCTTTGTTTCTTTTCCAAGATGATGATTCTTCATACATTTCCTTTTTCCATATGGGCACCTTGGCTTTTAAAGTATCAATGGCATAGCTCACAGCTTCGAGGGAGGCAGTCCTATGGGCTGAGGACACAGCAATGATAATGCTTGCTTCTGACACTGGAACTAAGCCAAGCCGATGGAACACTGCTATGTGTTTGACTGGCCACTTCTTTCTAATGTCACTACAAATTTTTCTGACTTCATTTTCTGCCATTGGTAGATATGCTTCATACTCTAAGCTAATGACTTTTTTCCCTTCGAAGTTATTCCTTGTAGTTCCTACAAATAGGGATATTGCACCACAGAATGGAGAAATCACCAGCTGTTGCTCAGATGTGAATTTTATTATATCTTTTGATTTCTCTTCAACTTCATTTATATCTTTCCCAGGTGGCTCAAAAGCACTATCCTCCACTAATGGGGGGGATAATGGCAATTTCGTCTCCTGATTGAAGCAGGAGGAGCTGATGTCCAAGCTCGGCATATTCTTGACGAACAGCAAATATCACCTGATTTCTGATGTCAGCCAATCCAGGATGGCGCGTTTCTATCTCATTCCACAGCTGCAATGCTTTTATTTCTTGTGGCACAGAAATGGTCTCTGAGCGAATTCCTGTTATTTCAGCACTTTCTGCAAAATACAACACTTCCACCTGGCACCGCGACACCATCCCCCCAGCGAACCCCAGCCGGGTTATGATAAATTTGTGCAGAATGTTTTAGCACAGAAATTAGCTGATAGATAAATCCAGTTCTTCCTCATAACGGTCACTTTCCATTAGTATTATTCTGAGGAGGCTTTAACTCGTATTGACAATATACTTGACCATCAATATCAGTATTATAATCTTACCAACAATGCCAGTTGTTATGGACTTAACTGTGTCTTCCCAAAATTCATATGTTGAAGCCACTCCAATGTGACTATATTTGGAGACAGAGCCTTTAAAGAGGTAATTAAGGTTAAATGAGGTCATAAAGATGGGGCCCTAATCCAATATGACTGGCATCCTTGTAAGAAGAGGAAGGGGCACTAGTGATGTATGCATGTACAGGAGAAGGACCATGTGAGGACACAGCATGAAGGTGGTCTTCTGAAAGCCAAGAATAGAGGTCTCAGGAGAAACCAAACCTGCCAACACTTTGATCTTGGACTTTCAGCCTCCAATACTGTGAGAAATAAAATTTCTGTTGTTTAAGTGACCCATTCTGTGGTATCTTTGTTGTTGTTGTTGTAGTTGTTTTTGCGGTACGCGGGCCTCTCACCGCTGTGGCCTCTCCTGTTGCGGAGCACAGGCTCCGGACGTGCAGGCTCAGCAGCCATGGCTCACGGGCCCAGCCGCTCCGCGGGATCTTCCCGGACTGGGGCACGAACCCGTGTCCCCCGCATCAGCAGGCGGACTCTCAACCACTGCGCCACCAGGGAAGCCCTGTGGTATCTTTTTATGACGGTCCTAGCAGACTAATAACCAGTGTTACACCATATCTCAGTATAGCGGTATATACAACCTGAAAAATAAAGGCCTACTCCTGGGGAATATCCTTCTTGTTTGTAGATGGAAAAGCTCTTGTTGGCATTTTGTGCCTCAGAGGGTATAAGAGAACATGCCTAGATTCAGCTCATCTCTGCATTGCTGTAGTAACTCCATATCCACTAGTTTCATGGACCCAGGTGGCCACCTCAAGTAAGTTGCACCAAGATATATACTTGCTGGTTCCAATCACCCTTGCTGGAAAGGGGTTCTTTTGATGTACATGAAAAAAAAATGTCCTTCCTTAATTCACTCCTTATATTCCCATAGTCATTTCCGTGGGGCCACATTCCATAAAGATATCACGTTAGGACCGTTTCCATTACACTTCTGCTTGATTATATGGCTAGGCCAATGGCCACTGCCCGTGAGTCAATAAAAATTCAAACATGGGGCCAACTGCATTGCGATTAACATTAATCAGCACGAACAATTTTATTTTTACTTTCCTTAATCAAGCTGTTGCCTTTCCAAGCAAGATGTCATTTATTCATTGTGCAGCTGTCTTCCATAAAGTGAGCAAATCTTTATTGGTCAATAGAGAGTTGTTCATAAGCCACTTCCCAAGTGGCCCAAGTGGCTGCAGGATTTAGCAACGCCTCAGGTATTTCCAAAGTTGACTCCTGGGGAAAAGAGCACCCCTGCTCCTGAATTCTCCTTGCACTGCCCCAGTAGCATATTCCTATATAAATCATTTCCATTTTATTATGGAACTCTTCTTGGCACTGTCCTCCCCATTAGAACATTTCTCTGACATCACTCAAGACATTTTGAGTATTTCAGTATAATTTTACATCCTCCAGTCATAAGACTAATCTTAATTAGCATCCAATAGCAAGTTTGTTGTCTCCCAAATAGTTTCCTCTCAAACTCCTGGTCCAAAATGCCAGCAATCAGCAGTCACTGCTAGGTAGTTTTTGCGGTACGCGGCTTTTGCCATAAGCCCCCAGTCTTGCCTCAGTATAGGGCTATTGTACATAAAATACGTCTGTACTATCACCCCAGCTAGATACCGATATAGTGTTAATTAAAGTGCTAATCTCTTTTTGCCAACCAGATATTCTATACTGTTTCAAATTAATGACTTGTGGGCTCAGGCAATCTTATTGCTTCTCAGTTAGCATGTTCTATCAATATTGACTGAATGGTATATTTACACGTCTTCTATTCTACAATATTAATAGGGGAATCATTCCCAACCCAGACACAATATTCATCCCCATAATACATTCAAGTAAAGGAGATAAAACCTCTTTTCATTAAATCTGTTCAAATATTTCAATTTTCATCCAAACTTTCACCTTCATCCCATCACCTGTTACATCCCTATATCCTCCCAATCTAACTGTAGCCCCTGTTAGGACTTCATCAACAGGTTTTGGAAGACAGTTCATGAGAATTCCAGTCAGAGTCCCAGAAACAGCTCTTCCCTACTTCCTGACCATTTTACCAACGCCTGTGCACATGCCCATGGGTCTCCTTTGGTCAGTTCTTCTCTTAACTAGACTGTAGGATTATTGCCCCAGCTGATTTGAGGTTAAATTTCTCATTCTCGGGCTTCCCTGGTGGCGCAGTGGTTGAGAGTCCGCCTGCCGATGCAGGGGACACAGGTTTGTGCCCCGGTCTGGGAAAATCCCACATGCCGCGGAGTGGCTGGGCCCGTGAGCCATGGCCACTGAGCCTGCGCATCCGGAGCCTGTGCTCTGCAACGGGAGAGGCCACAACAGTGAGATGCCCGCGTACCGCAAAAAAAAAAAAAAAAAAAAAAAAGAAAAATTCTCATTCTCAACTTTGCCCTCTAGATTTTTAAATTTCTCCAAACTAGAGTGAGATTTTTGGAGACCCCTGATTGTTGTGGGACCAGCAGGGGTTCCCATTGGTCCACCTAACTTCCAAGAGAGCTGCATTAAGACATTTTTGACACTATTAATGTCTGCTTTATTTATCTCACTTCTTATAAACCATTTATAGATTTCTACCTCCTAGGATGACTCCCTTGATTCTCCCCTTTCCCATTCCCCAATCTCTTGTAAATCAGTCTAATTCTGTTCATTATCTGTTCTTTTCTCTTAGGTAGCAACCCTGAGGCTAGCAGCTGTGGTTTGAAGTTGTTGGAATTCAAGCTTGGCCCAGCATCAGTATCCACCCTAACATTCTCTATAACTTTTATTTTAGGTATTACAGATAACAATTACCAATGGATTGCATATCTAGCTTCTTTCTTGTTACTCTGAATTTTCTTATGCATGTAACAAACCAACTCTTCAGGAATTGGATCCATCATTTCTAAATTTAATTGATAACTTCAACCTCTAATAACTGATTGCAGCACAGCTGTAATTCCATACTACGGGTGACCTTGAATACATACAGGAATCAAAGATTTCTCATCCTCTGCCTCTTGTTCTTATTTTTCTCAAACCACATGTTTCAGTGAGCAGGGATTGTTGCAGGGAATCCCTCTTCTGATACAAAATGTAAGAGCTGGGCTCACTATAAAGTTAGGAGACACTGTGCACACAAGACCACTTGTTACCGAGTGCAAGCTTGCTCTGCTCGCTACATGACAGGCAAATAAATCAGGACATGAGGGGCTGAGTCAAGGAATAGCAACTTTATTCAGAAAGCCAGCAGACCGAGAAGATGGTGGACTAGTGTCCCCCCAAAAACTTCTTATTGGGGTGTGGATGCCAGTTTCTTTTATAGAGCAGAGATGGGGAGGACATGAGGAAGTAAAGTAAAAAGGCCATTAGCTTTGCCTGGCTTGGCCAGCATGGGGAGAGGATGTGGTAATGTCTTCTTTTCTACAGCCATTCACCTGTGGACAGGGTCAGATTGTCTCCCTGTGAGCTGAACAAAGGCACTTTAGTTTAACGTTCAGGCAGAGGGGCAGGGTTCCCCGAGGCAGACAATTTTGTATGATTATAATAACAAAAGCAATGAAAAGCAAAGGTTAAAGTCAAAGAAACGATCCAACATGGAGTCAGATTTTGCTCTTCCCTGTTACACACTCACACTTCTGACACTAACTGCAAGTCCAGCCACCCTCAAGTTTTGATAGCTTTGTTAGAAGGACTCACAGAACTCCATTCTTTTCCTTAAAAATTTTTTTTAAATTTTAAATTGTGGTAATCACAGAACTCCTTTGTTATAAGGACTGTGAAATAAAATCCATATTTTATGGCAAGACAAGAAAAATTTAAACATAAAAAATTTTCTCTGCCCTTTGGCTTCCTCTCTCACCTCTACTATGCATTGTGTATCTGCATTATGCATTGACCAAACCTCCCCATTGGCAGAAATACCTGCTCAGCCATAAGAAGCAACATTCTCCTAGCACCAACACAACTCCTTAAAAGATGACATTCTTTCTTGATATTGTAAGAGGTCATGATAACCCATCACTTTGTACTTACATATCTGGATTTTGCAAAATATTGACATCATTTAATGTACAGCTCTCTGTCTCAAAAACCTGTGTAACTGTGCTTTGAGCTCTAATGGGAAGAACAGTTCTCGGAGCTTTATGAGAAGCTGTTCCCAGGTTATAATCCTCAATTTGGCTTGAATAAAATTTTCTACACAGGGAACTATATTCAGTATCCTGTGATAAACCTTACTGGAAAAGAATATGAGAAAGAATGTATACCTATGTATAACTGAATCATTTTGCTGTACAGCAGAAATTAACATAGCATTGTAAATCAATTATACTTTAATAAAATAAAAAAAATTCTATTTCTCTCTTTGATTAAATTTTTTTCATCAGCAAGACTCACAGACTCACTGAAATCTCTTATATTCAAGGTGACAGTTCATTACAGGGAAAGATACAGAGTAAAATTAGCCAAAGGAAAAATACACAGGGCAAAGTTGAGAAAATGTACCACCTCACCATGGAGTCAGGATAGCCTTACCTTCCTGGCATTGATGTGTAGCAATACGCACAGTACGTCAGCCAGGAAGGCTTGCCTGTGCAGACCCTCAGCGTCAGCAAGAGATGAGCGCTTAGGGTTTTCTCAGACCTTTCACAAACATCAATATGGTACTGGGGATACACACAGCCCTATAAATGCAAGGGCCTTCTAGATTCCAGGGAATACGTCAGAGCTTTCAAAAGCCCCTATGGACATCTCATT